TTTCAGAGGTAGGATCCCACGGACGAAGAAGTTCCTCTTCAATCCTTGACTGTAATTGCTTTTGAAATAGTTACTTTTTTCATTAACTAACCAAGAAAGGTGGCTGGTCTTACTTCTTCCCACTTCTTTCAACTTTTTACTCTGCCTGTATCCCTCTGACCTGAAACAACTCCTTTCTGAAAAAATCTGGGTGATTTTGAACAGATGTAGAGACATGACAGAGTTCATTTAGAACATAATCAACAGATAATAATAGGGTACTCAGAGAAATTGCAGTGAATGACAAGTACCATCAGCCTTTTCAAAACAGCAAAATTAGACATTTTTAACTCCACATGCACAACAGTGTCAGAAGAAGCAGGAAATGACTAATTTGGAAGCCTTTTATTATATTCTAGTTTTTAAAAAATGATATTGTAGCATTTTCAAACATTATCCTGATCCTCACTGTCTCTATAGGCAGTAAAACCGTACTCCACATGTTGTTTGAAGTAAACTGAATCTCTTGTGTACTTACTGGCACCTTCCATCTTTCCTGAAGCTTGACAGCACTCAGCACATCAGGGTGAGGCCCCAGTGTGCTTCTGTATGATTTGTGGGTTTTCGTTACCGCAAAGATTAATCTGTTCTATGAAACTCACAATCCTCAGACTTCTGTAATGTGGGATTTAATCAGAGTACTTAGGAAGGTTTGAGCTATTGTCGTTGTCTAGCTACAAAATGCGTCCATCTTCGCCCTGCTGCAGAGAGAACTGAGCTGAATTTCCTCTCTCAAGTCATTAATTTATTGCTGCTGCAGGAAGGGAAGGTTACCTGCTTGCTGGAGAAGCCACAGACCATCCAGACTGCCCAGAGGTCACTGAGGACCTTGTTTTGCTTGCTCCAGCTTCAGATCAGGTGTCCAGGCTAGAAAGCAGCCCAGACTGGTAGGAGGTGCCTGATTCATGGCTTGCAGATGGGACAGTTCCTGCAGAAAGGTATTTAGGCCAGAAGGGCTTGGTTTGGGGGTTGAGCTCAGATTGCAGAGGCAGGTGGTAGGGTTGGGATTGCTCCTGCCTTTAGCACCCCTGTGACATGATGGCAGTCTGTCCCCTTATCTCCTGGCAGGGTGCACCTAAGGGTCTGATCTTCAAGGTTTGAAAACCTTCCTGTAACTAATAGTAAGCAGAAACATGTTCTGCGGCTCTTTCACATCTTTGCCCTGACTGTCGCCCTCATACCTCACTAGCTGCTACCCTGGGACAGCAGGGTCCCATATAGAAGGTAGTCCTACCATTGTCACGGTGCTCCTTCGCTCAGCGCGGCTGTGTATGCCAGGTCTCGAATGCTCCCATACGTGTGAAATGCATGTGATCTATACAGCATTGGTACAGAAGCCAATATAGGAGTACATCCAGCTCACATTTTGCTTGTAAACTTTTCAGGCTTCCCTCTACTTTTTATCCTTTACCATGACTCTCAAGTCAGTATTTTAAAATACAGGCAGGTAACTTCTCCTGCTTGCGTTGCCAGAGCTATTGTATGCAAGCCAGGGACTTGAGAAGCTTGGCTGATGGTCTCCTGGTAATCTCAGATTTTGATGAAGATATAGCCATTAACCTGTGCTTGCAAAGGAAAAGATACATTAGGAGAATCACTGAGTGCTGTGTTCTCACTGTCAGACAGAATAAGCTTTTCATACTGACTGTGAGCATGAGGTAGGTCAGTGCAACGATCTTTATGACAGGTGCTTTTGTAAGTGGGATCTAGTCAGACGATGTAGCGCGTTCAGTGATCCTTGAGGCCCCTCTTAACATGTGCGCAGGCTCTCCTGACAGCTGACCTCCTGCCCACTTGCACATTAGCTGGAAGGTTGTTTGCTTAATTTCATCCTTTAAACCTTCTGTATCTTTGGTAGATTGTATTGCTGCTTTTGTCAACTTAAAAATAATTTTGAACACAAAAATTTTTGAATCACAAAAATTCTGAAAATGTGTAAAACCAGCAGAAACATTAAGCTTTGGAGGAGATGTGAACAAAGCTGGCTCCCGACTGAGTGTATCAGCCTGTCATTTACAGTTACTTTAGAGGTACTTTCCTGGCTTCTAACTGAATTGCTTCCCTTAAAGAAAGCAGAAGAAGAAAAATAATTTGAGCTAATACATATTTACTGCTCAGATGATGTGGAAATGGTGATGAGAATTGCCTAAAATATGCTGGCTAAGAGATAAGCTTGTGAACTTTGCAAACAGTGTATATATAGAGAATGGTATTAAAGCTTAACAGAGTTCTCTTCCTCTTTTTTTTTTTTTTTTTTTT